CTTTCAATTTGATCATCAAATCTTAGTTTTTCCCTGGTACTTTGATTTTCTCCTTTCTGTGCTTCAATCTGGTCAACATAACTAATATGTGCTGAAGGAAGAAAGTTTTTTTTGTATATATAAGAAAATAAATATACTTTTTTCGTCATATAGACATTTTTACCTGATACTAGTGGAAAAGAAGGATTCTATCTGACATTTCCTTTAAAAGTGCCTGTTTAATTGGTAGATTTAAGTGATAAAGCCTGTGGAAATAGTGAGCAAATGGGCTTCAGCCTTCCTGTTCCCAAATGCATCCGTCATATTTCTGCTGTTCTAAAAATGACTTCCTATCTATGCAATTCCCAATCACTAATAGTTATAGAAATATCAGGTCCGATATAAAGCATTCCTTGGATCTTGTCTGAAGAGATACCGCAGCAGTGATTGGATAAGACTTGCATCAGGATGAGGAGTGTAGAATTACGTAATTCCAGGACCTGTAAAATTACTGGAATTGGTGTTCAGCCTCTGTAGACATTTCCCTTATCTTAGTTATACCACCAGATATATGGATTCTGTTGAACCCTGAAGTAATTCTTGCAGGTCCCCGCCCAGACAAGTAACAACTTAATTTACCAGGAATCCTGAAAATTATCCATGGTAAAGATAAATCCATTTTCTGTCAAAGGATACACTCAAGGTTATTTATAGATTTGTTGTGTGAAGGAGAATATTTAATTCAATTTTTGTTCAGAACCATGTTATTACAATAATTGAAAACAATAGAGTTAGATATTAAGTGTTCTTACATATTTATAAGAATTCATACATCAGAAATCAGTCATCTGCCATTAACTTGACTTTAAACAACTTTCAGATCAATTTTGGATTAGAATATAACTATCTTCAAAATTTTTTTTTTAGATAAATGATTAGAATATCTCGTTATAAAACTAAAGTAGCACCTGTTAGTGAACACTTACATTACAGGCATTTTTTGTTTTATGAATATGGAATATTTGATATCATAAATAGAAAAAAAGACAAACAAAAAAAAAAGTGAAAAAAATTCTCACCATGAAAGGGGTAAATATGGCTTATATAACGAACTATTGGCTGCAAAAATAGTAATCTGTCAGAATTTATTATTTAATTAAGATAAATGTGTATATATGTATATATATATCACTTGTCACAATAAACAAATCAATCAGTGTTCTTGCCAAGGCTTCACACCACTCACTGATGACCAATTGATGCTGGATTTTCTGATGATATTTACATAAAACATACTTGATCCACAGCCAATAGTTATGCAACCAAGCCAACTTTGAGGGAATGTATATCTCCTTGCAAACATCAATGCTCTAGTCTGGCAAGCTGGAATTACATCTTCCGTGATGTTGAGGGGACATTTCTACAGGAAGTAGATCAAATTGGCTTCTATAGCAACTTTGAAATTGCTTTTAACAGTTTGTTTACATTGTTTACATTGAAGCTTTAACAGTTCCTTTCTTCTTTCTCTGACAATCTTGTGGTCATTCAGTTCAACAACCATTTCCTATTAAGTAAAAAAAAATTCATAATTGGCTTAGTTGATGAATTGTTACTTCCACAATTCAATTTCTTTAAATTATCATCCTGAAGTACTTGGTAGTTTTCAAATAATTTATTTAAGATTTCAAATCTAAAAGACGTGTATTATCCTCCATTTCATAGAGGAGTGAGGATGAGATAATAAATTTTAACCATGTCTGTCAAGTTCAGTCTCATTATGTCTCAACTTCATATATTACAGGATTCTTAGGTCAAGGTCACCGTTACAATTTCTAGAAAATCATTGAATTGAGAGACATCACTTGTGACTTCCTTTTTATGCTCCTACCATTTGAGAGGAGGTAGTGGCATTTTGTCCATCTGTGACCTTTTGTGTCTGTAGTGTGGGAGAACGGTGACGATACCTATACAAACAAGGGAGACAATCACATACAATATTTACAATTTATTTACACAAATATACACCAATATACATTTGAATATATCTCGTCTCTTGACCACACACACATTTACACTCCTCCTTATGAAAACTCTTGCACGAATGAATATCTACAATATGGAGTTAAAGAAAATCCTATAACTAGAGTTCAATGTCCACGGCCTTCGAGTAAGAACACAGAACGAAACGTTCATCAATCTTGTAGTCGTTGTCGTCGTGGCTACCTATGTCCTTCAACTCATGCGTGTAGTAAAGCTCAATACTTCACCATGACGTAATGACGTTTATGGTGTCACAGCATTAAGATCAATAACCCTGTCCTGCTCAGGATCGTCACCAACGACATCACTCAGAATTGTCGTCACTGCTTCCACAGATGATGGGAAGTCACAATAGGATACTGGGGCCACAGCACTCAGGCCCCCAGATCTCCGACTCCTACATGCCTTGAGTGCATTTTGGGTAGGCAGTCCGGCGAGACCCTCATTGTACCGTGGAACCAATATAGTCTCTTGGGACGTATGCTGGTGTCTCATCCAACGGAGGTCATGCCCCAACGTATAAACCACACATCTGTAAAATACAGATGTGAAAAATACCTATAACCTACAACATCTACCACACACCAAACAACTAGCAATCTCTATATTAGACATACACGTATCTGATATAATACAGCATATTATTCACATGTGAATATTACGTTACATAAACGTTTTAATACTATAATTCTCACTTAAAATTAGCTCACTTAGAATTCAATTTCATAAAGAACAACTAACATTATTCTGAATAAACCGAGAAAGTTATTCAGTAATATAAGCTGTAAACAAACTGTACAAACAAAGTATTGGAAATTGAACCATACTGGAAAACTGAGCACGTAATCATGTCACGCATGATTAGCGCGCACCTGTACCTCACCCAAACAACACATGCACACCAATAAATATAACTATAAAAATAACCCGACGAGGAAAGGAAACACAAAGTCATCGACACAAGAACAGACACAATGAGCAAATACTTACCCCGTTTGTGGGTAGATTCTTTCGCAACCAATGTCTGGTTCTCGGCCTGTAAACCTGACATGTATCACCACCTCAATGTTCCGTGACCGTGTGTCAAGCACCCACCCGGTGGTGCCTAATTTCTGGGTCAGGATATAAATATATCCGGAAATTAATAAAATCGCCAAAAAATACTTACCCACGAAATATGAATCATGACAGTGTCACATCCTGTCCAATTCCATTCTGAATCAATATCATATCTTACTATATCTTCATTGTATTTAAGGTGGTCATCAGTCAGAATTAAACGGTCAAATGTGACAGCTTCAGAAAATTCATCAAACAATTAAAACAATTATAGGTATATATATTGGATGAGAGGCATTCATGTCTTACTAGCATTTTCTAGTTTTAAGGGATTTGATCAAGGTCATCTTTGAAAATATGTCCGATAAGTTTGTGTTTGAAGGCACCAGAGTCAAGGTCACTATCATTATGTGAAGAAAATCAGCTGATTCAGTGACATTACTCTTGCTGTTTCCTTTCTTAAGGGATTTTGATGAAACTTTATTATGAAGATGCTTTGAATGAATTTTTGTTTAAGGATTCCAAATAAAGTTTGCTCTCATTATTGATAGAAAATCATCAACAACTGAGTTTGTGCTGCAGGATTTGAAGGTCAAGGTTATTGCTACTATTTATGTATCAAAAAAAATAGTTGCAATCAATGGTGCTGATTTCAATTGAAGCAAGGAATTTTATGTCTTGCACAATAGATTCAGCTAAGTATGATAAATATTCCTAAAATCATTGAAAGATCTTCTGATTATCAATAATGGTATAACCCTTTTATCAGTCCTGGTCGTTCTCTTTACTTCTGTCAGATTATTTGTCTTGTCACTTTCATAGTTTTAGATTATATCTATATCTTTCTTTTTTCTTCTAATTAATTGTCTCTATTGCCTCTCTTTCTTAACTACAGATGACTTCACACTTTTTCTATATATATTTGAATGTCTCCATGTTTAGAAATGAAAATAGTTAAAGTCATATAGCTAGAACATTTCCTGAAACTTTTCATCTGAAAAAAATTGTAGACAGTGTGTGAATGAATCCGGAAAGGAAGTATTTATCTCTACACATGGTTTAGCTGTGAGCATGGCCTCGTAAATTAAGACTTAACATTGAGGGTAAATTGGCTGTATGGCATTCATCACAGAGCTGTCCTCCCACTAACAAGACATCAAACATTAAATCTGCATCCAATTTACCTCTTACTAAAGCCAGTAATGTTGGCTAACTTTGAACGTGCATGCCCTATGGCAGACACACATAGTGATTCACTCAGGTGTAACTGTTTAGGTACTAATCTACCTTATAAAGCCCTGTACCTATGTAATAATCTGTCTCCCTTAAAATGTTGTCAGCTTTAGCATCATTTGCAGTTAATTTTCAGTTCAATTTCTTTTTATGATGAATTTTTTCTACTTCTTTTTTAATAATGCATAACATTTAATTTTGAAGAAAAAAATGTAGGTGGAAAAAAATCATGATTAAGCTAACAGTGCTTTGTTTTCTTTGGATTTAGATAAAGGGCTGTAATTGACATATGTAGAAATATTACATGGTTTACTGGTATTCTCCTTGTCCTCACACCACTGTTCCATTTCTGACCCCTAGACATCCATGGCTCTGTATATCTTGTTCCATTTACTTGACCCCCTGGTCTCTACAAATCTTCCTGATCATTAGTAATAGATACTGCTTGTCAAAAAGCATATAGATCCATTTTATATTGGCATACACACAAACCTTCTGGCAGATACATATACTGTACAGTCTGGAACAAGTCAGTAACCAGTGCAGTAGTGAGACCCATGTGTTACACAACAAGTGCGGGCAGTCAACTGGAACCATAGGGGTCTACTTTCTGTTTACCATTGAGAATCACCAGCCTGTGTCTGATATACACACAACTTAATCCTTGAGCCTGCACATATATACACACACAGTTTGTGGTGGGTTAACCAAAACTTTCTCACTCTCTCTTGGAGAAAGGTATAGTAGAAACTGTGATTTTTTTTCTTTTTATCTTAAAAGTTCTTGTGAAAGTTGTAGAATTTGAATTCTCTGGCTCAGCCTGATGCAGCACCCAGATAATTAGCATGGAAGCTATATGATGTCAATATGTAGGATGACGTGTGCTAGTTGGGTTTTTCTCTGTGGAGGAGTTGGATCTATTCTATAGTGTCTGCTGTGATTGATGTGCCATTATGATTCTCAACATTTCCTGAATCTTTCTTGGAGCAAGAATTGACTGTCTGTGTATTACAGTGTGTTGTAATTGATCCACTACAACTTCATTGCTCTGTTTTTGTAGGAAAATGGCAGTAAACATCTAGCCAAACTTCCACCAAACAATACGGAAAAAGAGGTCTCTTGGAAGGATCAGGAGAAAGGTAAGACCATTTAGTCTATTTTTTAACAACAAAAAGTCACAGAATTTAGATTACAGGCTTCAGTCAATAATTTGATTAGTCAATATTGTTGACTTAATGAGGAATTCACTGAATTATGCTTCTAAGAACATTAGTAGGTTACAATAACCATTCAAGTTAGAGAAGTTGTCTATGTTTAGAAGTTGTTTTTATAAATGTCTGATGATAGAATATTTATCTACTTACAAAAGATTGAAATCATGTACCTGCATGCAGTTACAGTCTGTGACATATTGTTGTAATGTATCTATTTTAAGACAATTATGTAGAACATTTTGAAAACAAATTTTCCTAGCTCAACAACCTTTTCACAATTCAGACTTTTTACTGAAAGTAAAGCTGACTGGGCTATCAAGTTTGCATTGAATGAACGGCTATGAAACTAGTGAATGTATGGTTATATGTCTATTCAAAATAGAGAAAAGATCCTGTTTCTGTGTGCATAGCACTAAACAGTACAAAATATGTCCCAATTACTACCCTTTTTTGTGATCATTAAAGCCTACACAAATATATGTCATGCACATGAATGCCTTGTTAGGAATCTACGAGGATATGGCTGAAGTTATCATTCTCCCTGGGGTTGGTTCAATTAGAATCCTTACTTATGTCAATGATTTTGTTATGACAACTTAAAAATACTCAAGAGGATTCATCCAGATGTTAAGAAATCTAAATTAAATTTATTCATTATCTGTCGTATTTTAGTTATTCAACCCTTGATGGAATTGAAATCAAATTAATTTATATATTTTATTAAACTGGATTGACAAGTATAGTTAAATATATATGTGTGTAGTTAAATGTATATATGTGTCAGTAAATGTGTGGGATAATCTTATTTGTACATCTCACATTTCATGTCTGGTGTCATTCTGAATGTTTTTAAATTGTGTAGGCCTAGCAAAGTTTATGAGGAGTATAATTGATTTAGCAGTAATTATCATTTTAATGGTAGGAGACACTTTGGTCTAATGTTATTGAATATTTAAGTTACTGATTGATAGGAAAACAAGAGAGCATGAGAAAAAGATATTTTATACCATTCAATCAGTAAAAAATATATGGCTATGTTTCACTGAAGTCAAAGAAACTTGTTGCTATCTTGAATGAACTGGAGGCAGCATATTCCTATCAATAAACCTACAGGAATGTTTACTCAACTGCCTGATTTTTATCTAAGGCACATCTTTTTAATGGCTAATTAGCTGTAGGAATTTTTTTTATTTATTAATTTTTTTCCCCTAAAACAGGATATATTATGTTATGGAGTGAAAGAAACTGATATAATTGCAGAAAAAGTTTGATATCATGATTTAGAGAGATAAAATTGTTGAAAAAAATTTGACATCATGATTTAGGGATTTTAGTCAACCAATGGCATTCTCATACTATATGAGATCTTCAAAAGTAAAATGATTTGTTCATTAAAAAGGTGTGGTCTACAGACGAATGGATCTGTCAGTTATACTGATATTGGCTATTTAGCAGAAAGGTCAGTCAATGCAGAAGTTGTTAATATTTCAGATTGATTTTGCAATAAACCCATGCCAGGTAATAAGCCAACCAACCAATTTTGGAGTAAAATTTGAATTATTGGCCCCATGGGCCACCTTATTCCAGAACAAATATTGAAGTTAAGTTTCTATTTCTCATTTTGTTGCAAATAACATGCTTTGATCTACTAATGACTCAAAAACCTTCTCCAATCCTGGCAGCAAAACTTATACTCTCTATCAAACTTGTTTCGTGCAAGATTGTTTGTATGTAAGGTCCATTGATTTGGTCAGTAGACAGGACTAGTATAGTTAGATCTCAGATGATGTGTCTGATAAAACCAGTGAGTGCTACCCCAGGAATAACAGTAGCTGCTTTCATTTAATGGTTTGTTTGACCTGTTAGTGATATTGTATTGGTAGACATGCTGGTTTGTTTGAACTTATAGATAAACACCCTGCTCAGTCTGTGGTCAGGTGCCAAGACCAGACATTGACCATTCAGCTCAAACTCTGTACATATAAACACCCTGATCAGGTGCTAAGACATTCTTCTCAACCTGAAGGTAGTTATCTTGTGAGTGAAGTATCATTATAGTGTACAATTATACCCACATGTTGAAAAGTTTTGAACAACATTTACCTTCCTTCATTATTGGCCAGTTTTTTGACAATCTTGTAATGAAGCTTCTCTACATTATGATGAAAATTTAGGAAAAAATGTATTAAATGATATTTTCAAAATTTGAAATATGTCTTTTGATGTTTAGAAAGATTTCTACCAGTTAAATGAAGATAAAATCTTGTAGGCCTGCAACTCAGTTGAAATATCTGATGTAAAAATTTGACATAATGCTTATGAGTAAGCTGATAGCACTTAATATTACTTGATCAGACTCCGTCAAAGGCAAGCTGGTCATGTTTACATAGCAACACATTTATAACCTCTCAGAAGGTTTTTTGGCAACCATATCCTAAATACGTTTCCTCGGGACATAATATGAAAACATCACCATTGATTTTAAGCAGATTTTCTGTCATTAAATAACACTTATTAATTTTCCTTCCTGAGTTTTAAAATATTTCTCTGATGAATACATGATGTGTAAAAAAAATTCTTTCAAACACAGAATTTCAGTATCTCATTTCAGGAGGGGACACATGCATTGAGAACTATGGTTGTGCCAGATACTTGCGAGATATCTGTGGTGTTTGTTGTCTGGAGATACAGGATTTTAAGTGGATTATTATTGGCTGGTTCTTTCTAATCATTTTGAAAAAGTGAAAATGTGTTCTTTCTGCTGGAAATCTGTGATTTGGTCTAATTGCAGCCTTACATCTGTTGTTGTCCTTAAGAACATCTGTTTGTCTGCCCACACTTGTTCAGAAGTCTAAAATTGTTATCTGTAGATTTTTTTAGATGTATGATCAACAGTCAAAAAGTTCCTTGTGAAAAGGTCAAGGTCAAAGTTTCTGAAATTAGAAGAGGGAGATAATGTCAGTTACAAGCTCTATATATGTCTTTTATCAGGTTATGACCAGCCTGTACTGAACTTTTATTGTTATATGTCAATCATAATGTTGTTATCCTTGTCCATGCCTGGTAATAAGTCCGCCGATCTATATATTGTTGTTCAATGGGAACTATAAACCAATACTATTTCAGCCTACCCCATGATTTTGAGTGAGAACAAAAAAAAAGAAAAACCAGTATGTCAACAGAATCGTAATCCCAACTTAAATTTAAGATTAACATAGGGACTCCTGAAAAAGTACAAGGGGAATAAGACTAGATTTTCCAGAACATTAATTGTCTTCTGTTTTATCAAAGACACCCAACATGCAAGTCAAATCAAATTAACGAATGTCATATTTCCAAATGAGAACACCGTAAACAACAATTACTAATGAGGATCAAACATGTCCAACTTTATATCACATAAGATCCAAATCCAAATATGGTGACCATAAATTTTTGCCAACCTCATTAACTGGCATCTCTTTGAAACCCAATATTGTGACTTTGTCTGTTAGTACAAAAGTAATATGGAGGTGTTTTTTTCTTATTGCAGGATAAATGCCATTTCAGTTTCAGTCTTGTTTTGAAAAGTGCCATATATAATGCCTTTAATCCTGTATTCCTGCTCTACCTCAGATAACCATACTGTGTTATTTTACTCAGACCAAGTAACAGCATTGCTTTCAATAATGAAACAAATTAAAAATGTGGAAATAAAGAAAATGTGGGTGTTTATATTTTGTATCATTCTGTGCCATCTGGATTACAAAGGTCTTTTTTAGAAGATATGTAGATTGTCTCAGAAGAAAGGTAGTAGATTATCATAGAATATATGTAGGAGATTGTCTCTTAGAAATGAAGTAGATTATCATAGAATATATGTAGGAGATTGTCTCTAAGAAACGTAGTAGATTATCATAGAATATATGTAGGAGATTGTAAGGTATTTCATATATCATTGTTTTCCACTACACTCTTCTATGGGATGAATGGCAGATGTCACATCAAATTAAGATATAGTTGTAAGTGAGGTAGCTACTGCACTGTGCTGAATATTTTGTATAATGGAATGCCTTGTAAGTGAATTAGACCAGGGGATTTTATTTCCACATTGTATAAATGAAGTGACAAGTCCTATAGCTTGTAGTCTTTAGATATCTAGCTCTCGATCTCTGCTATTTGATTTGACATGGCATGTATCTAGTCAGTGATGACCCGCAGGAGACTGGACTGACATACAGAATGTTTCACTTACCACAAAGCTTTGTTTTACCAGCCAGAGAGTTATTTACACTGTTGTTTTACCCACCAGAGAGTTATTTACACTATTGTTTTACCCACCAGAGAGTTATTTACACTATTGTTTTACCCACCAGAGAGCTATTTACACTATTGTTTTCCCACCAGAGAGTTATTTACACTATTGTTTTACCCACCAGAGTTATTTACACTATTGTTTAACCCACCAGAGAGTTATTTACACTATTGTTTTACCCACCAGAGAGTTATTTACACTATTGTTTTACCCACCAGAGAGTTATTTACACTATTGTTTTACCCACCAGAGAGCTATTTACACTATTGTTTAACCCACCAGAGAGTTATTTACACTATTGTTTTACCCACCAGAGAGTTATTTACACTATTGTTTTACCCACCAGAGAGCTATTTACACTATTGTTTTACCCACCAGAGAGCTATTTACACTATTGTTTTACCCACCAGAGAGCTGTTTACACTATTGTTGTACCCACCAGAGAGTTATTTACACTATTGTTTTACCCACCAGAGAGCTATATACACTATTGTTTTACCCACCAGAGAGTTATTTACACTATTGTTTTACCCACCAGAGAGCTATTTACACTATTGTTTTACCCACCAGAGAGCTACTTTTTCTATTGTTGTACCCACCAGATAGCTACTTGTACTATTGTTGTACCCAC